CCCCCCCCCCCCCCCCCCCCAACCCGTAGCTCGACAACGGCTGCGCATCCGTTGTTGCACTCCTACCTTGATGCAGCCTCGCTGATGGGCCGAAGGACATGGGTAGGACTGATCCCTCCTCGCGCTGTTGGTTTGGACGGGTCGCAACGCCCCAGTCCTAACCCTCGTCTCCTATGCCTCTATCCTACCCCGTGCCCATCCATCTCCCGATCGGCGGCAGATCTTTCTGGTGGTGGTGGAAGTGACGCACTTGGTTGCCGGGATTGTGCACACCCTTTACCGCGCCGGCGTGGACTTGACCATCGCCTGCCTACCTCGAGTGCCTTGGCTGGCGTCATCCGTGCGCTTTGCGGATGCCGCGCTTGGGTGCGTGTCTTACCGGATGCCAGATGACCCATGTCTCTCCCTGGGATTATCCAATGATCTGTTCACAACAAATCAATCGCGCGCATATTTTTTTTTACCGCTGCACTCACTGTCTCGCTCGCGTTTCGGGTTCGCTGACTTGCGAGCGGTGCGCGTTGGTCATCTTGGCAGTTAGTTAGAGCACTCGATGGTGGGACGTATAGCAACCGGAATCAAACATTTCGTTTCGTCAACGCTGACCGGTCTGATGCCCTCCCACCACCCTCTTGCTTCCTCCGCTGTGAGAAGGTATGGAGATCCTCATCATGATTCCGTTTCTGAAAGAATAAAGGTCATGGGGTCGGAAAGCCCAGTGGGGCTGAAATGCTTGGAGCCCCACCCTAATATCTCACCCTGACTCTTGTGCCTGTGTGCTCTCTCTGTGTGTGTCTCTCTCTCTCTCTCTCTCTCTCTCTCTCTCTCTCTCTCTCTCTCTCTCTCTCTCTCTCTCTCTGCCTGTCTCTTGTTGGCCGGTGCCTTCCCTCGGCATGTTCTGTTTTTTTTTCCAGGTACTTGTTGAATCTCGTTTTTGTCCTCTTTTTGGGCTCGGTGTCCCTCGTGCTTTGGTGGTACTCTCCCCCGAAGGAAGCTCCGTCGGTGCAGACTGAGGTGAGAGGGGGGAGCAACCATCGAAATGACTGACTCTTTCTTTTTACCTACGAGATTGAAGAGGGGCATCATATGCGTACAACACCATGACTCAATCA